ACTGAAGCACGGTTTGTTACCCTAGGTCAATTTTTACACAACGGTCAACCTTCAACTTAATGAATAAAGTAACGGCATTGAAACTTATGAAGTAAACGTCTTGTGTTCGCGAATAATCTGTCAGTCGGATAATGAATTATACTGATTTATTTAATGCATTACCTGTTTGTTTCTTTTGAAATGTAACAACTCACCGACGGCGACGTGATGATGAAAATGGCGTATCGATCCCTGTCATGGCGAAATATGTCATTGAATGGCAAAGTTGATACAATTTTGTATCACCGAAATGATCTTGGTATAGGATATTAGACAATATGATTTGCAAGCTCATCGCTGCAAAACTGTTACGTAAATATTTTAGAATATTTTGTAATTAAGTCTTCAGAACACTCTTCCTCTCACAAAATAAGCTCCTAGTTGATATATTGGGCCCAATCATATCAATTTAGAAATAGATTTTATGAAACAGTCTTCGAAGTATCTGTAGTACTGCTGTTGGAGTCTTTCATGTTCATCAAAATATCTTCCTTTTGTTATTACAGCTAACAATAGCATCAGAAAAATATCGTGAGTTAGATTCAGTTAAAAGAAATGATTTCTCCACACATTTTAGCTAAAAACTTCATTAGAAACGGTGTCGTATGACCAGCTTCATTGTTGAGTTGCAAGAAAAAAATCTAATCCATTTCTTCCAAGGTTTTTATGCATCCTCATCACTATTTCAGTTTACGTACTGTTTATACAAAGCAACGTAGTCAATACTTCAAAAGTTACTTAGCATGTAGACAAAGCTTACTATTTCGAAATATTGAAAAGGTTCTGTGAAGAAATGAAGACAAAAAAAATCTAAATTTTTAATAGATGGATCATGCATCGCAACAACCTGTGTAAAAAGAAGACAAAAGAAACAGAATGGAAGCCATATCAGAAGTAATATAACGGTAGTTCTGAAAATCGCTACTCACTTCAAAAAATGAGGATAATAATTTCACGAAGTGGTAAATAAAAAAAAACAACAAATAAAATTTATTTTTGTTTAACATAGGCAGTAATTCTTCAGTGTGCCGGCAATTCTCAAATAAATTAATTAATATTTCAATTCATTAACTGGAATATATATTTTCTTGTTTGTGCATCAAGACACCGGCAAGCGTTATATTGTTTAAGCTCATTCCAGTTCTTTGTTTAATTACTTGTATTTTGTCTAAATTTTTTCAATGCGATATGGAGAAATGTAGACCGTTGCTTTATAAGTACATATTGCGTGTTAAGTATAAACATAACCTTTATGTCCATATTTCAACTTATAAAGATTTTTTTTTAAGTTTGTCTTATTATGCAGCCTTCTGTTTCTTTTTAACAACCTAATACATAAGTTAATACAATATAAAATATGGTTATATGTTAAAATATGGGATAATGGTTTTGAGTTAGTTTCTGTACTATTTTTAATTTTAAGGCATTACTTAAATGTACTGTTTAGTTTTGTAAGGCGCTATCCCACAACAAATTATGGAGATTTTTAGGTAATATGTTTGTTCCATTTTCAAACCCTCGCCAAAGAAAAAAAAATGCTGTTTCTCAGATAACTCCTTTAGTACCAAAAAAATATTTAATATATTTCAATAGTTTTTTTGGTAGTTTGTAAGTAAATAAGTTCTTACTACTCAAATCAATCGTTTATAGAAATACTGCATTACACTGAGTCAAAAAAAAAATTATCAAAATGTAAGTTTACAGTAACAGTTTACTTAGGAAAAGACCTAACGGCACAATGTCAAACGGAGAAATATAACACTAGAAATTTTCATTATACTTCAATATAATTTTCCTTGTCAATTTCACAGAATATTTATACATATATTCCAGGCAATAATTTTTCTCTGTTAATTTAACGTGTTGTATTCAATTAAAAAAAAAATACCTATTCCTTTTTCCCTGTGCAAATAGCACCTGCTTCAAAATTGTACGGGGCGAATAATGACAACCAATATCAGTACATGATACATGACTTTCTAAAGGAATTACTTTAAAGTTGATTGCAGTGATATTGAACAATGATTTTCATATAAAATATATGACGTAATAGACAATTTATTATATTACAATTACTCATAATAATTCTTCGGATATTATATCTCTTTAGTTGAGTTATGTATTTCAAGTAAAGTTACATAAGTAATAAACGAATAAGCATAATTACGCGAAAAACCAAATAGGATTTTTAAAGTACTTTTAAATGTCGTCAAAAATCATTTATAACAGGAAAAAATTATGACTCGAAGTTTTCTCTATCACGTAGAATGTGACGAAAGTGTTGTTCCTTGAAATTTACGAAACTTAAATTATATTAGTATCTAGATGGCATTCTATTTTTTTATCATGTTATCATATTCTGTTTACGAAATAATAATGTTATTATATGCTTCTTTTTCAGAAGATAAAGTTTATTATAAAACCGACATGTGGAAAAATGTAAATTCAGATTTGCAGTAAATTTTTAAATAATCACACGACTATTTCTGTATTTCTGTGACGATGCCACATCTCGTATGTAAAGGGTGATTCACTATATTTTAACCTCCCCCATTTAATTTATTTGAAAATGATATTAGGAAAACAAATGGCCGCGGATGTTAACTGTTAATTTAAATGGAACACCCTGTATATTTAGAACGTTCCCTGTCGAGCATACTTCATATAGGGTTTGTTGGGTCCGTCTATAGCAACAATAAGCGAGATACCTACTATTAAAAAAAGAAAATACTTTTTTTTAAGAAAATATGATATCTTGTAATTGTTAGACCTCATTCAGGCATTTCTGCCTTTTTTCCATTTACATAAGGATTTACAGCTTTAGTTGTAATATGACAGATAATGTTATGACAACATTGTTATTGTTTGACAGTTTGTATTATTTAATTAAAATGGGTTACACGGAAGTAGAAAATTGAAATATTATTATAGGAATTAAATGGAATCTATTTTAATGCCAAATAATATTTCAATTTTCTAGTTCTGTGTAACCCTCTTTAATAATATAAACTGTCAATCAATAACAATGTTATCATGACATTACCTGTCACTGTCACGGCCTACCATATAACATTGTCCATGAGTAATTAGGCCTCTCACGGCCTAATTAGTGAGATTTAGTTAAATTACCTATACTTACGCATTTTGGACCGTATCAATGTTCGATATGTCAAAATATATTATAACTAAATCTGTAAATTCTTACGTAATCAAAAAAAGCAGAAATGCTTGAAAGAGGTCTAACAATTACAAGATGTCTTATTTTCTGAATAAAAAAACCTTCTTTTCGTTTTTTAACAGTATCTCGCTTATTGTTAGAGATGAACTCAACAAACCCTATATGAGTATGCTTGACCAGGAACGTTCTATCCAAATATGTAAAAATATACAGGGTGCTCTATTTAAATTAACAAAGTTAATATCCGTGGTCGTTTTGTTTGGACTTCATTTATTTTTCAACTATCAATTTCGAAAAATTCATAAAAAATCGTGCACCTTTTGTATAACTCTTAAAACAAAAAAGTTAAAGGAGGGGACAAAATATAGTGAATCACCGTGTACAAATATTTTAAAATTTGATTAATCAACTGTAAATTTTAATAACAATAAATTGCATATTTTTACTTTCTTTGATAACACGGGCACACAAAAAAAAACTCGAGCGCCAAGAAGTTGGTACACCCCGGAAGAGCTACTCATTTTGATGCCAATAATCGTTAAAACACACTCTTAGTCAAAGTCAATGAGAAATATCATTGACATAAAAATTAAAGTTGGTAATTGAAAACGCAATGTTTGCGTCTAAAAGTATAATACCACTGTCATTAGCTACAAAAGTAAATGGATTGACTAAAATAATTAGAAGGGAAATGACACTTTTTGCGGATGGTGGTTGTCGTGGTCAGAATCTCCAGTTATGTTACAAACACTTGGTAACCATACCATCAACCAGCGTGCAATCAGGAGGGCGTTTTCATTGGCCGAATCTTTTGTATAAAACTTTGATCAAAACTGGAGGATAAGTCTTTAAATACTCCTGTGGCGCTTAGGTCTTATTTTACTTCAAAATAATGTTTCATTTTATGTCAATGTAGAAAGTGTTTATTGTTTCGTTACAATCACATTTGTTTATGTTGGTTTACGCTGTTTATTTTAATATTAACATTATAATGTAATCGTTTGTTGTTTTATATAGGTTTTTTGCTGATGTTGTTCATGTACTACCAATACTTAAATAAAAATACGTTTCTAATTCATTTTCCACAGAACATTTGTTGGAATGCAACTGTATTGTATGTTATCCGTATTTTGATTTCGGGATTGTTTTTGGGGCATTCGGGACTAGTACCTTGTCTTGAAATTTGGACCCGAAGTCACCAAGACTTTTTGGTGTCGGGATTTGGGAACCCTATTCAAAGGGCCCTAGAATCCTTAATGTTCTTTAACTCCATAAATATTTTAATATCATCTGCATACATTCAAAACTAAATGTTGCAGAAACAAAGATATTGTTATTGATAAATATTAGGAGAGGGAGCGGTCATAAGAGGGAACCTTGCGGTACATCTGACAACTGTTGAAGGCATTGTATGCCACGATATTGCCTTCTGAAGTCTAAATCAAGTACGATTCAAAGAGAATTCATAAGTTGTTTGACAGACCAAAACATAATTTCTGTGCATATTTAAATACAAGACATAATTTCATATTGATTAACAGTAATACCCAATACCGAGTACAATTAAATTTTTATATGCAAATCAACCGCGAAAAATTAATCAGATATGCACGGTCAATACATAGACTTCGATGCAAATTTAATCATTCCAATGACAAGCTAAATAAATCATACCCTGCCGGACGATCGCGGTGTGTATAATTTCGCTTTTGTTCTCATGAACACTTACGCCATATAGGTAGTGGAATGAAAGTAATATTTACACAATGAGGTAGGTACTTACCACTGGCACAATCACTGACGCAAACCAAATTGATTTACTCGAGGCACTAATTACTATCTGCGAGCTATATCATAATATCATATTGCACCGGTAAAAAAAAAACATATTACATTAACGTAATAATGTGGAGTTACTCAGAGGCGGTGCGTTATTAATTAAGATTTTATTAGTTGACGATTGAGCCGGAAAAAAAATTAAGGTGAGTAAAATTTAATAGATTAATTCGTTAATAGCTCCAGTACAATCAATGTCATTATTAATAGCATTTAATGTTTTATATATGTATAAATGCAATTAAGGATACTCGTGCAACACATTAAAAGTACTGACTAATAATGGATGCAGTGGTTTACGGTTTGTTATATTATTATGCACAGCAAAATAATCATCGCCTACGTAGGTACAGGTATTGTTTCCATTCAACGTAGTATGGTTAGAAACGTAAAATGTATCATTACACTTTGCATTTTCATTATTACCTACTTACGCTTTTGTGCTATAACACTATGGTTAATCAATAGGAGTGGACTGTATGAATGCGCAAAAAATATAGCAAAACGGCTTACGCCTATTGTAGTTTGTCTTATCGAAGGGACCTTCTGGATGATTTGAATTTGAAAACAGGTTATTTAAATGCATATGGAACAAAGTTAAATGGCAAATATACAGGGTGTAACTAAATAAGTGTAAAACATTTAAGGGGGTGATTCCTCATCGAAAAAAAGATAGGATCTTTCATATAAAGAAACTTTATTGGAGCATCCCTTGTTAAAATACAGCCCCTTAAAGGGGGTACATAAAATTTGTTTAACAATTTTTTTCACAAGCACTAAACAAGTTACAATATTGAAATTAACCTGACATTTTCTACTACCAAAAAGACACTTAGCCAGTAATTTATTTGGTTTACCCCATGGT